ATACGTATAATTGTACGTATAATTATACGTATTATTATACGTATAATTATACGTATTATTATACGTATAATTATACGTATAATAAGACATACGAATTTGAAACAAGAATTATACGTATAATTATACGTATAATAATACGTATAATTAATTATACGTATAATTAATTATACGTATAATTATAATTCTATTAAAAATAGAATAATAGAATAGAATAGATTAATTAGTAGCAAAATTGCGCTGAAATTTTTTAGAAATTTTAAAATGCAAATTAAATTTCACGAAAAAAAATATCGTCGAATGTCAATTCAAGCAGTCACCCATCCAAGTACTAACCGCGTCCAACGTTGCTTAACTTCTGTGATCTGATGAGAACTTGTTCCTTCGCCTTGGTGTTTCCGCTGTCTTGTCTTGATTAATAACTTTGTCGTATAAGTATCACTAAAAGTGAGGTTAGGTGCGATACAATACTTATACGACAAAGTTATTAATCAAGACAAGATAGCGGAAACACCAAGGCGAGGGAACAAGTTCTCATCAGATCACGGAAGTTAAGCAACGTTGGACGCGGTTAGTACTTGGATGGGTGACTGCTTGAATTGACATTCGACGATATTTTTTTTCGTGAAATTTAATTTGCATTTTAAAATTTCTAAAAATTTTCAGCGCAATTTTGCTACTAATTAATCTATTCTATTCTATTATTCTAGTTTTAATAGAATTATAATTATACGTATAATAATACGTATAATTATACGTATTATTATACGTATAATTAATTATACGTATTATTATACGTATAATTAATTATACGTATTATTATACGTATAATTATACGTATAATTCTTGTTTCAAATTCGTATGTCTTATTATACGTATAATTGTACGTATAATAATACATATAATTATACGTATAATAATACGTATAATTATGCGTATAATTATGCGTATAATTATACGTATAATTATACGTATAATAATACGTATAATTATACGTATTATTATACGTACAATTATACGTGTTTTTTTTCAATAGGGACATCATAACTGTTTCTCGCAGTTGAGGTGCCATTAGATTGGTATATAAGCAGTGATCGAAAATTTTTTTCTTGTCGAAATTTTTTTCTACCCGATGTCTCTCCTATTAATTGGATTTGAGACTAAAGTCCAGAGCTGAGCCATCAGCCCAGCGCGGGAACATTTGAAAAATTTGATTTTATTAGATATTTTATTTTATTTTAAATATGACAAATAATTAACTTAATAAATAATTAATGTCTTTAATAATTATTAATAACATAATGTCATACTTAATAATTCGTTAATTATTATAAAATAAAATATCTAATAAAATCAAATTTTTTAAATGTTCCCGCGCTGCGCTGATGGCTCAGCTCTAGACTTTAGTTCGCTCAACGCCACAGGGAGGGCGAACATCATAACTGTTTCTCGCAGTTGAGGTGCCATTAGATTGGTATATAAGCAGTGATCGAAAATTTTTTTCTTGTCGAAATTTTTTTCTACCCGATGTCTCTCCTATTAATTGGATTTGAGACAAACTCTTTTTTGGAAGAAATGGTTTCACTAATACTTTGATGACCATTTTTTTATTTTAATTTAATTATTAAAAATAAAATAATAATAATAATAACTATTAAAAAATAATAAAAATAAAAATTTTATTTTTAAATTATTGATTTTTTAAATTATTATCGAGATTATTATTAAAATTTTTAATATTGGATAATTATTGGTTGCCAATAATCTGCCAATGATGGTTGCCAATCATTGGCATCGGCGTGGACAGCCCATGACTTTACCAATAATGGTCCATTATTGGGTGCCAATGGTTTTTTCATTGGCTCCCATCATTGGGCCAATTAATACGCCAATGGTTACTCGTGGCAGTTTCCCATTGGGGATACACTTATATTCAAGATTAAAAGAAGGATTACAACTAAAATAGCGATCAATTTTATAAATATTAGTCAAATGTAAACTTTGTATATCTCAATCGATTCGTTTTTATGCCAGGAATACAATTTTGACAAGAATTAATTAAAATTTTTATATCAGAAAAAGTTATTTCAAAAAATACAAAAAAAGATTATTTTCAAAAATTTAAAAAAATGATTTAATCTATAGATTTCAGTAAAATATGAACTTTATATAGGCTAATCGACTCGTTTTAATGCAAGAAATAAGTTTTTTTACTAAACAAAATTAAATTTACAAAGAAAAAATATTAAAAAAAAAATTTTTTTTTTAATTTTGAAAAAATTGTAAAAAATAAAATGGTGTGAATATATTCGGAAATCCTTGTGTCAGATTTTAGGTATTAATGATTACAATAAGCATACAAAATTTCAGGACAATCCGTTAAAACGTTTCTGAGATAATTTGTACACAATATTTTGTGACATACACACACATAGACACACACACATCTGGACATTTGCTCAGGACTACATAAATATTATTTCTAGATGAAAATGAGTCCATACATTCGAATTTTAAAAAATCGAAAAACGTCACGAATGCAAAGCTTCCTTATGAGGAAGCAAAATGAAACAAAATATTTAGTTTTTAATAATTCTTGAAAATTTTTCTAATTCAAATAATTTTTAAAATTGTTTGATGTTTAATAGAATTATTATAGTGAATCTCTGCCTAATCATTCTAGTCAAATTCGAAAGAACTTTTTTGATTGGGTTTTCTAAAATTTTATTTATCTCTGAATGATAATAATAATTTTCAAATTTTTGAATAACTTGTAATAAAGGGTATTTCGTAATGTAAAATAAGTAAAAATAACAATAATAAAAAACAATTGTTTACAAAATTATTTTTTAAAAAATCATAGAAAATTGTTGAGTTAAATAATTACGAAAAAATTTGAATAAAAATAATTTTAAAGGTTTTAAATTATAACTTTTTTAAGAAAGTTTAACTCAAAATTTATAATTTTAATATTTTTTTAGAACCTAAAAAGTACCTACAGCTATTACTTCATTTGTAGATTTAAAATCAACACTTTAAATAATAAAAACTGGAAATTTTGATACGTAAATTGGTCACTAATTTTTTCAATTTCGGTGCGTAAAGTACGTAATTTTTAATGCCGAAGACACTTCGAGGTCTGAATAATAAAAAAAATGGTAATTCAAATACGGCAAATTATTTAGTATAATTTTCTAGAATACAAATAAAATAATATTTTATTTGAAACATGTAAATAAATAAACTTCCTACAATTATGATTATATTCACCTCACTAAATAAGACTTACAAATAAATATTAATAATTGATTTTTGATACTTTTTGTATAATAATTGTAAAATTGTTTAGTCTATTATAATTACATGGTCGATTCCACGTGAGATTTATAGTCGAGGTTTAAAATTCGGGTAAATATATTTTTTCTTATTCTCTGTAGACAAACATGAAATACGTATTTTTTTATTTTTGAAAAATCGGACAAATTTTTGGCTTATGTCTCTGAAAATATTGAATTTGGTAAAATCTTGCCAAAGAATAAAAGTTTTGTTTTTTCTTAATTTTTAAGAAATTTAAGAAAAAAATTTTTTTTTTAATTTTTAATGAAAAATAAATTAATTTTTTATAAACAAATTAATTTTTTTTTAAATAAAGAAAAGAGCTGTAAAGAGACTGGGTAAAAATAACAAAAAAATATTTTGTTTATATAAAATTGTTATTAAAAATATAAAAATTATTTAATTAATTATTGATTTTGTTAAATATTATAAAATTACATTATCTTTAAAAAAACTTAAGCAAACCCAAATCTGAAACATGTAAAAGCAGCGGTACTATGTATTTGTTAATTAAGGGTTGTTTAAACAATGCGTTGTGTAAAAATTAATTAAAGTAAGTATTAGTTGTTTACCTTGACTAATAATATTGCACATTTCTCTCAATATGTCATTAATTTCGTAATGAGGAACTAAAATCATTAAAACTGTTTATAAAAATTGTTTAAATAATTGAAAAATTTTTTTTTCAAAAAACAAAATCAAAGGCGTTATGCAGAATTATATCATCTTTAAAATAAGACCAAGAACGTCTAAATCAGTTGAAATAAATTTGTAGGCTCTATGTTAATTTGTCCACGGCCCACTATGTAGCGTAGCGCGCGTAAAGCTTGCACGCAATTTTTAAAAATTCATTTAAACTTATTTAACTCATCAGACCCATTCCGGCTCTTTTTGCAAAATCTTCTGTATATTTTAAGGAATGAATAAATCATAAAAAACAAAATTTAATCGGGCTTAAATTAAAAAAAAATTAATTTGTTTATAAAAATTTAATTTTTTTAATTAAAAATTTAAAAAAAAAAAATTTTTTCTTAAATTTCTTAAAATTTGAAGAAAAAACAAAACTTTTATTTTTTGGCAAGATTTTACCAAATGCAATATTTTCAGAGATATGAGCCATTAAAAAGAGGTCTACTTTCGCAAAGCCAAAATTTCAAAAATTCATAACTAAAAAATTTAGCCTATTTTTCAAAAATAAAAAAATACGTATTTCATGTTTTTCTACAAAGAATAAGAAAAATATATATTTACCCGAATTTTAAACCTCGACTATAAATTTCACGTGGAATCGACCATTTATATTTAAACAGATAATGGTCAGTATTTTTCTAAAGTAATTAAATTTATTCTTTATCTGTAAACATCTTATTTCATTAATTATTACATTTTAGAAAAAGAAGTTTAAAATAAGTCAAAGTTAACCTTAGAATTCAAAAGAAAATTAAATATATATTTATTTTTATACACAATATTAATTTTATTTATTTTTAAAGTAAAAAACATCTATCCGTTCTTCTTCATCATAAACATTAATTTGATCTTAGCCGTTAAATGAACTATTTATTTAGTAAAAAAATATATTTCTTGCTTCTTTTGTTAATCTATTCTTATCTTCTCTGATACTTAGCCTTTAAAAAGATTACAATGATATCCCAGATTGGTCAATAATGTATATTTTATCTTTGTGGAGAAATATTATATTAGTGTATAATTTGTATATTAAAAAGTAATAATTTCAGAATGCCATTTATAGTGTTCAAATGGTACCCACGCAAATATTTATTGACATATTCAATGACAAAGGTAGATAGCGTACGAATGAATGAAAGAGGTAGGGGTTCCACACCAGTGCGAGACAAAAAAAGTGGTACAGATCGCGAAGCAAACACCATCGTGTGGAAATACTATAAGAGGATGAAGTAATAGAAAGAGAGAGAGAATCTTGAAGGTAAGAATGAATGAGTATGATAGAAAATATCAACCTGTACATAGGAGGCAGGACTAAACAATTTACTTTTAATGAATCCTTTCACAAACGAATTTATTGTTTCCCACTCGCACAACACTATTTTAAGAATATGTAATTGCTAAATTTAATACACTAGAATAAGTCAAAAACATAGTACTTTCACTTTGTGGTTAGAGAGAAACGAACGCACTCTAAGAGAGGTAACAACTGCGGATTCTGAGAGAACTGCTCCAATGGCAGTTATTTCGTCTCCTTCTCCGGTGTCTTCTCCTACCTACATTTCCAGTTGCATCAGAGATACTTCTTTTAGTCGATTTGTATTATTATTGTAAAATTTTTCTTACATATTTCTTCTTCAATACTTAAGAAAATAAGCTACATTGGAAAAAGAACAAGATGTTCTAAGATTTATATAAACTTTATAATTGTTGAAGTAAAAATTGTTTACAACTTGATTATTTTTTAAGAAATTTAAATCAACAGTTAATGATATTTTTTAATTTTCAATCATTTTTTCGAATTATCTTTTAAAAAATTTCCGTGATCTGTTGTTAAATCTGCCATTCAAAAAAGTCACATTATAAAACAAAAAAGTGATCTACCAACTACATGAACCAGAATGGGCGATTTTTTGCAATCTTTAATGTGTTGTTTAAATTTTTGTAAACCTAGATTTGTTATTATGTAGTATATGGGCAAATTTACAGAACCGTGTGATTTCATGTTATTCTTCATTTAAAAAATTGTAATATATATGTATCATTTTTTTAGTTTCAATGTCTTTTGAAATATATGCCTAACAAAAAAATTAAATAAAATCATAATTTTTATAGTATTCATGTGAAATAAAAAGTCATATGAGCTTAACATGATTAAATTTGATTTGTTACTCTAATCTTTTCTTCGACTTAAATGTATATAACTATTTCAGCATAAAACAAAACCGTTCAAAACTAATTGTAAATGATTTTTCTAATGTTTAAAAATGTATTACATATCGAAAAAAATATGTGCTCTTTTTTTAAAATGAAATGGCAACAATTCAAAAAGAGTCACTCCTATTTTTGAGTAATAGGAAGTCACAACCCTAGTGAAAAAAAAACGTATTATTATACGTATAATTATACGTGTTTTTTTTCACTAGGGAAGATTTTTTTTATTTTGTGCTTTCAACGGTAATGCGATTCTAATTTTTTTTGAATGAGCATATTCCTTATAAAAAAATAAATTAATTAAGATATTAAATAAATTAAAATAAAGATAATATAACAATACCCAATGGGAAATGCACGATTGGTTCAATAATGGGCCATGCTTGGCACACAGCCTGCCATTATTAAAACAATGATTGGCAACCACCATTGGTTTTGGTTTGGAATGATCACGCTACTGTCAATGATTGGCAGCCAAGCTTTGGGCCAATATATGGCTGCCAAAGATCGGCCAAGGATTGGCAACTAATAATAAGCCAATATTAAAAATTTTTTTAATTAAAAAAATAAATTATTTTTATTATTTTTTAATAATTATTATTTTATTTTTAATAATTCAATTAAAATAAAAAAAATGATCATCACAGTATATAGTGAAACCATTTCTTCCAAAAAAAGTTTGTCTCGCATCATAGAAGAAGGAGAGACATCCCTAGTAGAAATTTGTTCTAGCTATAATAAAAGAACTGGCCAGTCGTGCTCTCGGTCGTGCTTGAATTTGTTACTTTACTAGTCAGCTCGCTAAAAACTCGAATGTCGTGTCACGCTTTTTTCATCAAGTTATTATCCAGCACAACTTGATAATTATTTATCAAAAGGACTTTTGAAAAACTAATCAAATTAATTCTTTTAAATATAACGAAATTCATTTAATAATAAGATTTAATGTAGTAAACACGTTTATTTTATGCGAAAAAAATTCCAATTATCAACAAAAATTATTATATGAAAATATAATGCACTAAATATAGTAATTCGTTATAAATATGTAATTTATTACATTTATTACACGGGTCCGCTGAGCGGGAACGAAAGAAACGCACGCTTTACGCAATTTCGGCCGTTCTGATCAGTGATATTAAAATAAATGCTTGACGTATTTCACTGTACCTAATGATATTATGAATTTGTGCATATTATTTTTATTATTTTCTAGGCAAATAAACATTTTAGATGTTTATTTGATTTTAAATGATTTATTTATAATTTAATTTAAATATTAGACAATTATAAAACAACTAATTACTAATTTTTTTATTTATTATTCTCAAAAATTATATGTAAAATTTTATAAATAAAATAATTTTAATAAATTAATAATTATTGATATAATATAATATTATTAGTATTATTATTATCCCACACAGCACAGTATATTGCTGTAAGCTTACCTCAAGCTTACATGTAATTTTTGTAAGCTAACCCTGTAAGCTTCAGGTAAGGTCGAGGTAATATAAAAATGTCCGCCATACAGTAAGCTTACACAGTAATGCCATGGTAAACTTACATGGTAAAGTCATGGTAACCTTACATGGTAGGGGCACTGTACGCTTACATGGTAAGATCACTGTAAGCTTACACGGTAAGATCACTGTAAGGTTACAGTAAGCTTACACGGTAAGCTTATATTAATTGCTAACAAATAACAAAGTATTAATTTATCAACGTACAGTAAACAATAAATTGTTTTGCACAATTATATTTATTTTGTCATTTATATAAAAAAACCCGGTAGGGTTTGCTTAAAAAAATTTACTGCGCATTCGTAAGTGCCATAGAAAGCTACTGCGCATAAATATTTTAAAAACTTGCCGTGTAAGCTTACTGTAACCTTACAGTGACTTTGCCATGTAAGTTTACTATGGCCTTACTGTGTAAGCTTACTGTATGGCGGACATTTTTATATTACCTCGACCTTACCTGAAGCTTACAGGATTAGCTTACAAACATTACATGTAAGCTTGAGGTAAGCTTACAGCAATATACTGTGCTGTGTGGGATTATATTATTATCATATACTCAAACAGAGAAATAATAATCTACTATGTAAAATTTGTCTGAAAATAATAATAATCGTTTAATATTTTTTTTAAAAACTAAAAACACTATTTTATTCAAGGTAATATTATTTTTATAATAATTTAATTTATTATAATTTAATAAATTTCATTATTTTAAAAAAGCGCGCGCTATTTTGTCTTGGGCTAATCAGGTGATTTCAACTAAATGTAGGTTATGTTTATTTCTGATTCATGACAGCAGCAAACATTTACAACAAATAATGCTTTGCAAGTGTATATTTATTGTAACTAAGTAAGTTATGCAAAAAATATATATGTGGAACGATAATTTACGGCGATTTTCATAAAATGAATATTGATTTAGATGCTCTGGAAAGCAAAGTTCATTTTTTCTTACATTCAATTTTTTCGACCACCGAGATATTTCGATACATTTTCATGTGTTTTGTATGCACTGTCTTTTTTAAGAAACGAATATTAATATTATTATTATTAATTTTTTTAAATAATTAATTTTTATAAACAAGTTGTAATTTTTTTACACCAAGCAAGCGAAATGTCAAAACACAAAATACTAGCACAACGGTCAAGTTACTAGCCTTATTGTAGCGCCACCGCCATGACAAAGATATAGGAATATAATTTCAAGCAGCACTGGACAGTGCCATTAAAAAAACTGGATAGCTTTGAGTCGTGGAAATATCATATCAATTCCCAGAATTCTGATTTCATGGAAAATCTTAAAATGTTATATGAGGAGGTCAATCAAATAACTCGATTCGCGTTCGAAATATCGCCCTTATGCTATTTCGGCGCATCAAAAATAGTGAAAAATTATAATTCAAAATTTTAATTTTTTGAAAACACTATCTTGTAGGGAATAAAAAAACACAACTTTTTTTTGTAGAACCATTATTAATTAAATTAAAAATTAAAAACACCAAAAAATTTTTTTTCAAATTTAATTAAAGTTTTAAACATTAATCGTTGTATTGAAGTCAAATGTTAATGAATTAACTTGCAATTTTTTATACAAGTCCATTTGGGTCTGCTGAAACCGAAAAAATCATAAAAACTTTAAAAATTATTTATTGTTTAATTATTTTTTATTGTAAACAATGACCTGTCAGTAATATAGTTTTCTTACTTTCGATGAGGAAAAGTCTGTGGTGAAGTTTTGAATTGATCAAACTTCCAGTGAGAAAGTTGTTCCTTGGTATGCAAGGAAGTTTTCTGGAAAATTTCAACAAAATTTATTAAAAAATAAAAAAGTTTGCAATTTTTAAAGAATACGCGCCGCGTGACACATTCTCTCCAATAGACAGTACAGTGCTATAAAGGTGTCACCTTTATAGCACCTTTATGTTATTAATATTATTATTTAAAAATTAATAATGATAACTATTTATTAATAATTATTTGTTAATAATTAATTATTAATAATTATTTATTATATTAGGGCATATCTCTAGAACTTTTAAACTTTATGTTATCGCTCATTATGATACCTTAAGAATTTTTTAAATAATTTTTCAATACCATAATTTGACCAATTATAGGGCTTTTTAAATGAATCATGCGTTATATAATTTTTTTAATTCTGTAGGAAATGACGAACGTAAGTTAAAGTGGTGAAATCGACAGTTTCTAGTGTGTGATATTGACTGTTTTTTTAGTTTATAGACTGTAACTTTTTTAACGAAACATTGTGTGTCTTGTGGCTTGCAATAGAAGTAGGTGGGAGTGTAAAGAACTAAAAAATCCATGAAACAATGATGTGCCTCAAATTGAATAAAAACTATGTAGCTTCAAACTTGCGAGACAACTTTTTCAAAATTTCTACAAGTTAGCAGTTAAACTGATATAACTTTTTTAACGAAGGTTTTTGAGTAACGGCACAACGGGATTATATTATCTGCTTAATAAGAAGTAATTTGAACCCATACAGGAATGTGTGCCTCCTTTACACAAAGAATGCAATGACTTCAAACATTAAATTTTAAAACGTAACTCATATCAAAAAACCACATATTTGAAAAGCACATGTTGAATTTTGCTTCTAAATGATCCCAACTCATTGTAATCTCTTCTCATGCATTATAAAAGTCTACAGAAAAATCGTTAACCTTTGCACACTTCATTAAAACTTTATAATTAATAATGAATATAAACCTAAACTGTCCGACGCATAGTTTGTGAAGAAAAGTAAGTATTAACTAATAGATGTGTTTAAATCTGGCTGATATTTCTCACTCGAAGGTTTTTGGGGTCGCTGCGACTACTAATCTGAATTTAAAATTTTCCAAAATTCAAAATGGCGAATCCAATACGGCGGACGACTTTTTAAAAAAGTGATCCCATTAGCCTCAAATTTGTTACTCGGAGGTTTTTAGGGTCGCTGATTATGAATCTGAACTTTGTTTTTCAAAATTCAAAATGGCGGATCCAATATGGCGGACGACTTTTTAAAAAATTGATCCAATTGGCCTAAAATTCGTTACTCGGGGGTTTATGGGGTCGCTGATTACGAATCTGAACTTAATTTTTCAAAATTCAAAATGGTGGATCCAAAATTGCAAACAAAATTTTTTAAAAAATTGAATAATTGAAAAATATCTTTCTGACATATTTGATACACCATTTTAAATATTAGTAATGAAACTTTAAATTTTATGTATATGGTTACAAAAACTAAGCTACGAAAACCCCC